AACAAAAGAATAAAATAGAATTACATGAACAAAGAGAAAAAGGAAGATTTTATCGTAAACAAATTCATTTTTTTACTGTTCAAACTAAGACACAGAGAGCGTATTGAAGAACAGTCTCTTACTCTCTCTATGGAAATGGGAGGTGAACAACTTTACCAAGGTGTATATTGAAGTTAAACAAGGAAATGTTATACTTTTCTTTTAAGTATATTACTCAAATAAGTCTTTGAATTATTCAAAAAAATTTAAATAAATTTTTATTTTTTATTATTTTAATCAAGTTTTTAGATTTTATTTTAAATTAAATAAACTTTTATATTTAATAATTAATTATTATTAATCAAAATAATATTTTTTATTTTTTATTCTCATGTCAATGATATGAAGTTGATGAGGCCGTAAATGTTACGGTCATGGAATCGATCACAAAGGTTTGGAGTTCAAATGGTGGAATCAGCAGAGGAGAGGGTAAGTTTGGCGGCGGAGGGGTTGGGTCGGCCACGGGTCAGGGCCAGGGACTAGTCAATTGGTGGAGAAGGGCTTTTGGTGTTGTTGATAAGACTTGCATGATGTTTGGAAGATGAATCACGTGTCATGATTCACTTTTAAGTTGAATTTTGAAGATGAGTCTGCATGAACGAAGAGACATATTATATGTAATTTTAAACTCTTTTTAATTTTTTAATAATTAATACTTGTAATCTCTATATGAACAATTGTAATTTGTGTAATCTCATCCATTGTTAATATCTTTGTATATACCATGCAAATGAATAAAAAAAGCTGATGATGAAGTTTAATTAATGTGCAAGACCTTTGTTTGTCCTTTTTTTTGAACTACTCAACAAAAGACCTTTGTAGTGACCTCATTTTTGTTTCTTGCTCTTAATACATAGTACATAACACTATGTAATAGAGTAGATCACAAGGTTTTTTGGTGATAAGCCGACAATAGCATTGGCAACCGTACCGATATTTAAAAAAAATTGTGAAGAATAACTTTTCTTGATAAGGGTATTTTAAAAATAATCATCAAAATAAATTTAATTGTTTTAGTTATATTTAGCCATGACTTAACAAAAATACCCTTGAAACTATTTCAAATAAATTAAACCATTTATCACAATTTCTCTCTATTTGTGCTTCTGATTTCTCTCTCTCAGCATCTCACTCTCTCTAATTTTATCAATTTTTCTTTCGGCATTCGTCTACTATGCTCTCGATTTCTCTCTCGCGCTTTCAGATTTCTTTTTCTAACACTTTAAAGACACCAAAAAATAGTTTTGATGTGCTTGAGTGGATGACTATTTGAAGGATTTGATTTTTAGATATTTTGGATAAAACTACATAGTAAAAATGATCACAAATGTTTGAAATAGCTTTTAATTGGATTAATTCGGGATCTACATACGAATAAACTTAAAATTTTAAAATTCATAACCCTAGGTTTTTAATAAAAAAAATTTTCAATTTTTAGTCAAAATAAGTATTTTAGATAAGAGAATTTGTGTTTTGATTTATAAAAACATATTAGAAACACTTTAATCTGCGCCAAATTATAAAAAAAAATAAAAAAAAAGAGTTGAGAGGATTTGAAGTTTTGATTTGTAAGTAACAATAACAGTTTAGGCATTAAAGTGTAACAAAATATTTTTGAATATGGCGTGTAATAACTTTTTTTAATCATGACGTGTAACATATTTTTGTATATGACGTGTAAAAACAGTATTTTTTTTAACCATGGCGTGTAACATATTTTGGTACATGACATATAACAACTTAATCATGACATGTAACATGTTTTTGTATATAGTATGTAATAACCTAACTATGGTGTGTCACACGTTTTTATACATAACGTGTAACAACTTAACCATAACGTGTCACATATTTTTGTATCTGACATATAACATGTTTCTATACATAACGTGTCACATATTTTTGTATCTAACATATAACATGTTTCTATACTCAACTCACCTCTATTATTTCCTAGTTTTGAATTTGAATTTGATTGAATAATGGGTTAGAGAAAAATTGCATTTCTTCATCCAAACATGCTCTATGCTCTGGGCCAATCAATTCCTTTCTCAGTAACTTTTTTCTCGACAGCCATGAATTATCTAAGTTTAGTGTTGACAACACCTCCATCATAGTTGCCCAAATTTTAAACATGGTCTTACCCATACGTGAGGTGGTATAGGTCGGAATGCAACTCACCGACTTACTTTAACTAAAATTCTTCCATTAATCAGCGCTGCCTCAATGCCATTGTACTAGCATGCATTTTCACAATTCCCCCACCTATCCCCTAAAGTTTAAATAAATTAACATGTCATATTTGCAACAAAATTTCATCTAATCTCAGCCAATAAAACATTTCTTGTTGCACAACATTGCAATTATAGGCAACCAACTTGCTAAGCCATGTTTTAAAGCAAATAAGGTGATTCTCAATCAAAACTTTCATCATCTCAAAGTCAAAGAAGGTGATAAGTATCTAGCAATTGCCAATTAGTTGAATTTGGACCTCAATGCTTTGCATCTCAAGACCTTCCTTCAAACCATTGATCGAGTAGTTAGGATGGAGGGATCTTATAACGGTGTGTTTTAGCCGCGAATCATTGGTTTTAGGAATAAAAATGACCTCCTCAATTTTCTTAGGTACTTGTTTTTTAACTAGTTTGAGATACAACCCTTCATCCCCTTTCTTCTCCAAAACATCTGCCTCCCTCACCAACACCTGTCTTCCAACAATAACCATCCCATTTCCTTCCCAAATAGCCAACTTGAGTTCCTTTTCCTCCCTGAATCTAACAAATGAAAAATTGAATCCCCTTCCTCGATATCGCCATGGCATCAAAAGCTGCCTTAATCTCAACCCAAGAAAGCCCTTTTACCAGATTATCTATAAGGGCTTTAAACAAAGATTTCCTCCACCAAGACAACTTTGATTGACCACGTATCCTTCTGCCTTGAAACCCAAACCAATGACGATTACTTGACGCTCCTTCTCCTCCATGTAAATGAATGAAGAAAGCTGATGATGAAGTTTAATTAGTTTGAAAGACTTTTGTTTGTCCTTTTTTTCGAACTATTTAACAGAAGAAGACCTTTACAGTGACCTCATTCTTGTTTCTTACACTTAGGTAGTGTTTGGTATGAGGAAAGTGGGAGCATATTCCCTGCAATGTGCTCAATTAAATTACATTATAGTGTTTGTTTTACAACAGACCACTACAATGTAAGATTGCAATGCAATCATGTTACAGCCAAGCGATGTAATCACATTCTAATGTAATCACATTACATTGCATTCTGCAATGTTCTTAAAAATATTTTTATCCTTTAACTTTATTACCTTATTAAAAATATTTTATAATTTTATAATTAAAATAAAAAATATTAAAATAAAATATATAATAAAAGAATAAAAAATTAAAATAAAATAAAATATAAGAAATTAAAATTTGTATAATATAGGTAAAAGAAATTAAAATAAAATATATAATATTAAAAATACATTTAAGAGAATGATATTATATAAAAATTAATAATAAAAAATATAAGTATATTGAACTTATATTTTAATAAATATGGATAATTTTAGAAATTAACATTACATTATAAGCAAAGTACTTGTAAACCAAACGCTGTAATGTTATCTTCTCCATATTTTAATCATTATTTTGTTTATATACCTAACACTGTAATATTATTTTCTTTA